GGAGAGGCAGAGCAGGAACAGGGCTGAACTATGCTGTAGGAAGCTTTAAACTAGGTATGAAAAATCATCAAATCATACCTAGGAATTGCTTATCTGAAACCCCAAATATGTAAGTAAATCAGGGAATGTCTAGGAAGACATGATTAGGGTTATTTCTTTTATTTCTTATTGGCTTGTAGACTCCTCTGTGCTAACCCCCAAGTGCCTTTGTTTTCCTGGTAACCATTAAGCTGGACCTCAAGAAGGTTATTCTTGATGTTAAATTTTGTAAGTGGGTTTTTTAAAATCTAGCAAAAGCCTAAGTTCCAGATGTATTTTCTTTCTTTTTGTTTTTAATAAAATTGACCTTTTTTAAGAACAGGTTTGGGGTGGGGGGGTTGTATCCTCAGAGGTTTGTGCATATGTTGTTTAATTAGCTGGTGGCAACAGCTGATTTCCTTTGTTTTTCTTTCTCAGCTCTTCCCCCAAAGGGGGGAAGGGGGGAGGGCTTGAGGGTACCCCACAGGAAGGAATTCCCAAGTGCACCTTTGTCAGTTCTCAAAAGAGGGTTTTTGCATTTGGATGGTGGCAGCATCTACCCATCCAAGATTAGAGAGAAGCTGTAACCTTGGATGTTTAATACAAGCCAGGAGTGGCCAGTATTAAGTTTTAGAATCTTTCCGGGCCCCCACATTCTGCACTCAAAGTGCCAAAGTGGGGAATCAGCCTTGAGAGTATCACTTACAATTTACCACTCCTTTCAAAGCCTATATATTCACAGCATTTAGCCAGCCTGGCTTTACATGTAGAAGGTTCTGAAAAATACCCCCTCCCCTTTTTTTTTTTTAAGTTAAAAACTCAAGCATAGTATCTGTAGAATTTGTCATATACAGGGTACACAATGTAGTGTAGCATAAGTGTTTTATTAGCAATCACTGAACTGCATTACTCACCTGCAGTTTTGCCATTTGTAAGTAATAGTTATTCCAAACTCATTTCAATTAAAAAAATGTATATTACACCTCACCATTTTTTAAACATATGAAGTGCATCCCAGCACAGATAGCAACATAAAACTCCTATACATCACATAAGACCAACTTACCCAACTTTAATTATTTTAATATTATTATTTGTACTACATTAGTATGTAGGGAGCCCTTACTATCTAAATAAACAATATAGTCAAAAGGTGGGAGAAAGGAAGTATTATTCCCATTTTACAGATGGGGAACTAAGGCATAGGTAAATTAAGTCACTTGCCCAAGGTCACAGGAAATTGTAGCAGAGCCGAAATTAAACTCCAATCTTTTGTGTCCAAGTCCAATACTTCAACACCACCACTACTATCCTTGTTCTCTCAAAGGCTAGGGCTTTAAGCAAGATCTCAGCTCCAGACTCAATTTCACTTACCACTAAAAAATGTATAAGTGATATTTTGTCACAAATGCATTTCTAACAGAAGAATATTGATTGTGGGTGGAAACATATAAGACAGCAGGGTTGCTGACTGTGGGTGTGTGGGTTGAAAATGTTTGTGTGGTACACGTTTGTATTACAATGGCCTCATCCAGAGTGGAAAGATTTGTTTATGCCAATGCTTACAAACTTTTTAAAATGTACCTTTACGAGTGCAAACAAACAAACAAAAAATCTGTCTGTGCAGCATTTCTAAGTTTATTAAAGGTGATATGGTCACAGAACCTCCACGCTAGATCACTGGAATTTTCAAAAAGGTACAAAGGGGAAAACAAGGACCGGACATTTTAAAAGGTGTTTTGAATTCTCTTTGTTTCTCACTCTATTAACTTTACCTATTCATAATCATTGCACTGAAAATGAGAACAGACATGCCACATAGTGTAGATGATCTGGTGTAGAACTCAGCAAAATCAAATACCACTACTCAGTCAAAAGAGGCTAAATTATAATTATTTTAGATAAAATTATCAGGATTGCTTTTAATGTCATTTCCAAAAACATATAGGAATTTTATAAAAAAAACCACTTCCCATTTCAGAGATACTCTGGAAGCCACTGCTGTAAGATGGAGAAAAATCAGTTGTTTATTTCCACTGTTACCGATCTTTCACAATACCACACAATAATGTAATAAAGACAATGTCTGAATATAAATGGCAACAAACAGCAGCTCTGGGAGACGCTGTAGCACCAGTCAGGATGAAATCATTACCCTGAGCCATTTGTTCGAAGAAGAAAAAATTGTCAGAAAAGCTGGCAAGCAGATCATTAGAGAAATGAAGGAAAATTGCTGGATGGCCAATTTTTTCTCCTTAAATTGCTTCGGCTTCTTTTTCTTTTGTTTTTGAAATCTGATTTGCTGTTGTGAAGTAATTATAAGCCTCTTTCATGTAGTGTATATAGTTTGCATAAAGCTACATTGTCTATAAAAATAATAGAATCAGACATTACTGAGGCCTCAGCTATAAATAGGGCCCTACCAAATTCACGGTCCATTGTGGTCAATTTCACGATCATAGGATTTTTAAAATAATAAATGTCATGATTTCGGGTATTTAAATTTAAAATTTCAGTGTTGTAATTGTAGGGGTCCTGTGGGGGGGGGCTGCGGTACTGCTACCCTTACTTCTGCACTGCTGCTGTCAGCGGCGCTGCCTTCAGAGTTGGGCAGCTGGAGAGCGGCAGCTGCTGGCCAGGAGGCCCAGCTCTGAAGGCAGACCCGCCACCAGCAGCAGCGCAGAAGTAAGGATGGCATAGTATGGTATTGCCACCCTTACTTCTGAGCTGCTGCCTGCAGAATTAGGCCCTCAGTCAGCAGCTACCACTCTCTGGCCACCCAGCTCTGAAGGCAGCAGCACATACGAAAGGGTGGCATGGTATGGTATTGCCACCCTTACTTCTGTGCTGCTGCTGGCGGTACGCCACCTTCAGAGCTGGGTGCCTGGCCACCAGCCGCCGCTCTCCGGCCACCCAGCTCTGAAGGCAGTGCAGAAGTAAGGGTGGCAATACCATGGCACCCCTAAAATAACCTTGCAACCCCCCTCCCCCCGCAACTCCCTTTTGGGTCAGAACTACCAATTTGAGAAATGCTGATCTCTCCTGTGAAATCTGTATAGTTTAGGATAAAAGCACACAAAAGACCAGATTTCATGGTCCGTGATGCGTTTTTCATGGCTGTGAATTTGTAAGTCTTAAAACTCCAACAGCTTAGACTGGCCCAGGTTTCAAGGATGAAACCTGTGTACTATGAACTACAATATCTAGTGGGGTGAGAAAAACTGCTTAATCTAGGTGTTGCCCAGTTTAATAGAGATGAGAGTTTAGATTGCGTGCTTATATTTTATTTTATGTTGGTAACCACTCTGACTTTTTAACCTATCACTTATATAATCACTTAAAATCTATCTTTTGTAGTCAATAAACTTGTTTTACTGTTCATCTTTACCAGTGAGTTTGCCTGAAGTGTTTGATAAATCTGCTCACATTTACAAAGGCTGGTGGATATCCCACTTTCCATTGATGAAGTGGTAAACCAATTAATAAGCTTGGATTACTCGTCTTGAACAGTGCAAGACAGTATATTCCTGAGGTACAAGCCTGGGAGCTGGGGGGGGATTCGGCTGGTGCCTCTCTCTGTGATTCATGAGTGGCTCTGGGAGCATTCATGCTGTGACGTTGTGCAGTCTATATGGTTTTATAAAAACTTGATAATAAGTCAATATAATGTAA